CTCTCTCTCACACACACACACACACACACACTCTCCCTCTCACACTCACACACACACACACACTCACACACACACACTCTCTCTCACACACACACTCTCTCTCTCACACACACACACACACACACACTTTATGCTCTCAATAAAGCAAATTAACATTTTCCACCCATTTTGATGATTGCAAATCAAAAATAGTATAATATATTATGTAGACTATATTATACATCATGATAATATTTCTTAGCTTTACTCAAATTCTTCACATTACAGTATTTGTTTGAGAATAACTGATCTGAACTGAATTGATCTGAATAATGACTCTATCGTCTAATGTTGAGCTGAAATTGAACTAATATCATAGCTGATGAATTGTACAACATTAACACTGAATCAACACTGAACTGAATAATGACTCTATTGTCTTCTGTAGAGATGCTTTAAATTGAATTTGTTTCGTAACTGATGAATCTTGCATCATCAACTGTTATTTTCTACTGTGAAGCTGTATTGTATAAAGCATCTTGACTTGAATTAAAATGTATTATTATTATTATTATTGTGGTGAAATACGAGTCAGATGTGTTCTCATGCAAACACAGTAGAACATATCAATATTAATCTTTCGGATGAATCCCTTCTGAACATCTTCATCATGTTCTTCACTTCACACACTGAATAACACAATCCCATAATCCCTCCTGGAGCGCGTTGTCATGGTGACGCAGCATTTAGGAGGGTTCAGGGGCGCTGCAGTTCCCTCAGCAGACAGCAGGGGGACACACGTACCGTACAGAGCTTTACCACCCGACCTTTTGGCAGGAACATCTGGAGACAGTGAGCCATGACCGCTGAGAGAGAGAGAGAGAGAGAGAGAGAGAGAGAGAGAGAGAGAGTTGGTACACTAGCGCTCATCCATACTCACACTTTCCCTGCTGTTCTTCTAGGACCGAAGTGAATTAATAATCATTGTGACACGTGTTCTGTCCTCAGTCACTCACGGCCTGTGTGTGTGTGTGTGTGTGTGTGTGTGTGTGTGTGTGTGTGTGGGGTTAATGAGTAAAGTGGACACTTGATCTGTTTCATTGTGTAAGTCACACTAATTGTGCAACGGATCAATAATGAATGTGTTCAATAGATCAGGAGCAGATGAAACATCAATAAAACACTGTGACTTCTGAGATGAAAAATCCCAATGATCCGTCCACTGCACCACTGCAAATGTGATATTGATTCAGTTCAATAATAAAGCAATAAGCCCCAAGAAGCCGTGGTTTACAGTGAATTTATGATTACAATCTCTACAATCCTACAACCCCCTTAGCTGTTATAAATTCACTGTAAACCACGGCTTCACGAGGCGTATTGCTTTTATAAAACGGTTATTCCATATACGTAGTAAGGTTTCACAAAATAAAACAGAGCAAATAAAGTGTAATGATATTAATAAAAACAGTATTCTTCCACCAAACAATGTAGTTCCTCAGAAACAGTTGTGGTTGCAACAAAGTGGTTGCCGAGCAACACACAAACGTAAACAAAGGTGTGTGTTTGTAGAGTAATTTACAACAGCTTCGAACGCAGCTCAGCCAATCAGAATCAAGGACCGGAACTCTCCGTTTTATAAACAAGAATTAATAATGTGTTACATTTTAGACACAACATTGTCAATTTTGTCTGTTTTTGCTCAATTTTGCAAACGAAAACAGATCCAATCAAAGCCGCAGCTGAACCATTGTGCAACACACAGCAGCGATTCATTACTGAATGAATCGACAGTTTTGTCTGAATCGAGTGAGTCAATGATTCAGTGACTCATTTATAAAGAATGAATCAGCCGTTTGAACAAATCGGTTGAATGAATGATTCAGTGACTCATTTATTCGCCGTCACCTACTGGCGCTTTTACTTTCATATTTACAGTATCATTTGTGACCCTGGACCACAAAACCAGTCATAAGGGTCAATTTTTTCAAAAGTGAGATTTATACAGTAGCTGAAAGCTGAATAAATAATCTTTCCATTGATGTATGGTTTGTTATGATAGGACAATATTTGGCTGAGATACAACTATTTGAAAATCTGGAATCTGAGGGTGCAAAAAAATCTAAATATTGAGAAAATCATCTTTAAAGTTGTTCGAATGAAGTTCTTAGCAATGCATATTACTAATCAAAAATTAAGTTTTAATATATTTACAGTAGGAAATTTACTAAATATCTTCATGGAACATGATCTTTACTTAATATCCTAATGATTTTTGGCATAAAAGAAAAATCAATAATTTTGACCCATACAATGTATTGTTGGCTATTGCTACAAATATACCCCAGCGACTTAACACTGCTTTTGTGCTCCAGGGTCATATTTCTTTTTTTTTTTTAAATCACTTTATATTTAATATTTAAAAAAAATCTCATTAATAACCATTTATTATAATTACTTATGCAATGCTGAAAAAAATATTTATTTCTAAAGCAATATATATATATATAAAACACAATCATGACTGTAAATGATCTTTTGGGGGTTAATTTCTCAGCCAAAGTCGCTGTTGAATTAATTAATGATTGGCACATCATGTCATTAATTAAGAATAGAAATGGCTAAATTGATGTGATGGATTGACTTACTTCATCTGTGAGGACTGCGCTGTGACTCCGGTGTATCCGTTCATGTCTGGACTCTGCATTGCGCTCACAGATCCTCCACTGCAACACAATAAAAGCAGCGTCAGACACACAAACATCACGAGACAAAGAAATACACATACGCCAGGAACCATGAGAGACAGCTGTCAATCACACAGAGACACAGATGCCATGTGTATCACCTTCATCATCATCATCATCATCAAAGCTGTCTCACTGCTCAGACAGAATGAGATTCACACATACGACTCATATTCACTTATGACACAATCACGGAACAAAGATCAGATTTTCAGATTTTGTAATCAGATGTATCAGTAAATGAGAGCTGGATGAGATATTTACTGTGGCCTGTGGGAGGAGTCTGACGCTGTGTGTGAAATCATGTGATCACTCTTCTGATTGGTCCACTGTTTTGGAACTGCTGCGTGTAAAAGTTGAAATTCTTTTCAACAAGCATGTTCTCATCTAATGTTATTTAATTATCTAACATGTAATCAGAGGCATCCGGACTTGAAACAGCATGTGTGTGTGTGTGTCACATACCGTTTTTCGCCTACTATCAGTGGATGGGGAAAGTTAATTTTAAAAGCTATGCATTACAATTAGGGTGTCCATGTTTACATACGGAAAAAAAAAAGCGCAATTGAATTAAAACCTGTAAAGAACTACTTGTGTATGTCTGAAAATTCATGTTTGCATCATGCTGACATCAGGCTGAAAGCTGCTGCTCATTGTTTTTACAGAACATTTATAGCCTGGTTAATAATAGTCTGCTGGTGTTATACCTTCAGTCATTTTGAATTTGAATTACCTTGACTTTTGAGATTTTTTAAAGCATTTTCCTCGCATTATTTCTGAACATATAATATGCATAAGACAAGTCTGTAGTAGACGTAGTTGTAGTTCATGCATCTTTTTTTTGCAAAGATATTTAACGTTAACAAGTGATTTGTTTAACATTTACATCACGTGTGGTGCACTTAAAATAGAAATTTCTTTAACTAGAGGGTTAATAAAGAAAAAGTTACTTGGATCATGTTGTAGTTACATTTTTAAGTTAAAAATCGAGAATCGGTCAAACGTTCTGAAAAAAAATCGAGATTTTATTTTTTTTGCCATATCGCCCAGCCCTAATTACAACATTGCATTACTCCATAAAAATAACTAACTGTGGTACTTAGTTACTTTTTATGGAAACTAATGCATTACTTTTGCGTTATTTTTTGTCACCTGAGCTGGACTTGCTAAAAAAAAGTCATATGTTTTGGCAACTCTAAGGGCCCTTTCACATCAAAAGTGAAAAGTGCCAGTTTCTCTCAACATGAGGACAGGAGAGCTGAGCTGTCAGTGAATAAATGGGAAAACACAGTAACTTGCATTACTTATTTGAAAAAGTAACTCAGATATGTGACCCTGGAGCACAAAAGCAGTGTTAAGTCGCTGGGGTATATTTGTAGCATTTAAAAGTAATGTATCACTTTACTAGTTACTTGAAAAAGTAATCTGATTGCGTAACTTGTAATGCATTACTCCCAACAATGCCTGCTATACTAGGGAAGTATGCCATTGTGTGTGTGGTGTGTGTGGTTTATTTCTCCCATGCTGCTCCTCTCCTCTGAGCACAGGCATGGAGATTTAACTCAACGTCCCGCGTCACATGATCACAGACGACAGCGATGCTCTGAACTCACTGATGCTGCTGTTAACGGCTCGTTTAGTGCGTTTGAGATGATGAATGATCAGAAAGTCAGTCTCCACCGCGCGACGCTGCATGTCTATAATTAGCCCGGCGCGGGTCGTTAGCTGGTTAATCTGGCCGATTGAGTAACGAGTCCGACAGAGTTAAACCGTCCAAGACCTTCAGCCTGTGCGACGGCAATCATTGAGCCGAATGTAAACAGAGTTTATTCTGACAGATGAACACCTGACAGGTTAAACACCTGAAACTGATCCTTAACCGGCACATGTGCTGATAACTGAACACACACACACACACTCTCTCACACTCACACACACTCTCTCACACTCACACACACTCTCTCACACTCACACACACTCTCTCACACTCACACACACTCTCTCACACTCACACACACTCTCTCACACTCACACACACTCTCTCACACTCACACACACTCTCTCACACTCACACACACTCTCTCACACTCACACACACTCTCTCACACTCACACACACTCTCTCACACTCACACACACTCTCTCACACTCACACACACTCTCTCACACTCACACACACTCTCTCACACTCACACACACTCTCTCACACTCACACACACTCTCTCACACTCACACACACTCTCTCACACTCACACACACTCTCTCACACTCACACACACTCTCTCACACTCACACACACTCTCTCACACTCACACACACTCTCTCACACTCACACACACTCTCTCACACTCACACACACTCTCTCACACTCACACACACTCTCTCACACTCACACACACTCTCTCACACTCACACACACTCTCTCACACTCACACACACTCTCTCACACTCACACACACTCTCTCACACTCACACACACTCTCTCACACTCACACACACTCTCTCACACTCACACACACTCTCTCACACTCACACACACTCTCTCACACTCACACACACTCTCTCACACTCACACACACTCTCTCACACTCACACACACTCTCTCACACTCACACACACTCTCTCACACTCACACACACTCTCTCACACTCACACACACTCTCTCACACTCACACACACTCTCTCACACTCACACACACTCTCTCACACTCACACACACTCTCTCACACTCACACACACTCTCTCACACTCACACACACTCTCTCACACTCACACACACTCTCTCACACTCACACACACTCTCTCACACTCACACACACTCTCTCACACTCACACACACTCTCTCACACTCACACACACTCTCTCACACTCACACACACTCTCTCACACTCACACACACTCTCTCACACTCACACACACTCTCTCACACTCACACACACTCTCTCACACTCACACACACTCTCTCACACTCACACACACTCTCTCACACTCACACACACTCTCTCACACTCACACACACTCTCTCACACTCACACACACTCTCTCACACTCACACACACTCTCTCACACTCACACACACTCTCTCACACTCACACACACTCTCTCACACTCACACACACTCTCTCACACTCACACACACTCTCTCACACTCACACACACTCTCTCACACTCACACACACTCTCTCACACTCACACACACTCTCTCACACTCACACACACTCTCTCACACTCACACACACTCTCTCACACTCACACACACTCTCTCACACTCACACACACTCTCTCACACTCACACACACTCTCTCACACTCACACACACTCTCTCACACTCACACACACTCTCTCACACTCACACACACTCTCTCACACTCACACACACTCTCTCACACTCACACACACTCTCTCACACTCACACACACTCTCTCACACTCACACACACTCTCTCACACTCACACACACTCTCTCACACTCACACACACTCTCTCACACTCACACACACTCTCTCACACTCACACACACTCTCTCACACTCACACACACTCTCTCACACACACACACTCACACACACTCACACACACTCACACACGTGTCTACAGAAGGACCAGAGACGGATGATTGATCAGCTCACAGGCCAGTTTGTGGGTCAAACGACTGGAGTCTGTTCTACAGCATTACATACACTACCGGCCAAAAGACTGGAATCATTACGCTAGAACATTACAGAACAACAACAACAACAACATTTCTTATTGTTATCAATGTTGAAAACAGGTTTTCCACTCAATATTTTTGTGCGATGTGGGAGAAGTAAGATTTTACTGTAGTTTTATTCATCAAGGACGCATTAAATTGATCAAAAGTGACAGTTAAGGCATTTATACTGTTAAAAAAGTATCAAATAAATGCTGTTCTTTTCTTGAACAATAACATGCATGATGATTCCCACAAAGATATTCTGCAGCACAACTGTTTTCAACATTGATAATAATCAGAAATGTTTCTCGAGCAGCAAATCAGCATATTATACTGATTTCTGAAGATCATGTGACACTGAAGACTGGAGTAATGATGCTGAAAATACAGCTGCGCATCACAGAAATACATTACATTTTAACAGATATTCACAAAGAAAACAGCTATTTTAAATTGTAATAATATTTCACAATTTTTACTGTATTTTGGATCAAATAAATGCAGCCTCGGTGAGCAGATGAGACATGTTCTGATAAAACATTGTAATTATTAAAACTATTGTATATATACACAACAAAAGCAGTGTCACGCACACCGTGACAGCTGATGAATCATCCGATGAATCTTTGAACCCTGAATGTTCCTGAATGACTCTCAATTAGATTCACATTCACACTGTGACGTAAGAACGTCAAACATGAATCACTTCTGCTTAACACTGCTTTTGTGCTCCAGGGTCACATATGAGCATCAAACGCAGGAAATGTGGCATTCAAACACGTTTCTCTTCCTGCATCAGCGTTACATCTGAAACAGACACATCAAACCCAGCAATTCATCCAAAACAAACACACTGAGGAACCATGGCACACCTGTGTGAAGATGAATCACACCGCAAACACAACAAACTCTCTCTTCACTCGTACCTGTTCACAGCCTCGGCATACAGACGGCGTGACGCGTGAGAACCGTGACAATGTGCCACTTCTTCTCACTGCGGAATCTTTAAGAGGATTTGTAAGGAGCTTTACAAACTCACACAGGTCTGTGATTATCCAGCGCAAAGGACGCTGGGACACGCAGATTCTGGAAAACTTCTTCAGTTCTGTTCTTCTGAAGATCTTTACGTGATCAACAAATGTTCTAAATCAGGCTTTGCTAGTGTTTTACATCACAAACGGGCTGTTTTACCAATTCACATCAAACATGAATCACTTCTGTTCGACAAAAGAGCATCAAATGCAGCATTCAAACAGGTTTCTCCTCCTGCATCAGCGTTACAAAAACAAACGTATCGACACGAGCCACATCAAACCCAGCGATTCATCCAAACAATCAATGAGGACTCATGGCACACCTGTGTGAATCACACAGTAAACAGAACAAACCTTCTCTTCACTCGTACCTGTTCACAGCGACGATGTGCTGCCTCTTCTCACTGTGGAATCTTTAAGAGGATTTGTAAGGAGCTTTACAAACTCACACAGGTCTGTGATTATCCAGCGCAAAGGACGCTGGGACACGCAGATTCTGGAAAACTTCTTCAGTTCTGTTCTTCTGAAGATCTTTACGTGATCAACAAATGTTCTAAATCAGGCTTTGCTAGTGTTTTACATCACAAACGGGCTGTTTTACCTTCATACAAGGGGTTTTATATTTGATTCTTAACAACAACAACAACAGGTTTATTTATTTATATAATTTAATTTTTTTTAAATATAATTTTATTTATTTATTTATTATTTTATTTTTTATA